CACCCGGAAGAATATCTTTGTGACTAATTATCTCCGGGAACGGCGGAGGCCCGCGTCGCAGTGAGTCATTGGTATTACCACTCCCCAGTCATCACTCCCCTTCGTTTCCGTCAAAGCGACCGACGTAAATCGACGGCCGGACGGAACGTATCAGTCAGCAAGCGGCCGGAGCTAATCCGCACGTGATCAGCCTGCAGTATCGCGTGATGGGGCACTTCAAGCGAGCATTGACGCGTCGAGGCTACCTCTAGGACCTAGGACGAGCACGTGGAAACACGGCAGGATCGTATGGGACATGGTATAGCGGTGGGCAAAGGCTGAGTAATTGTGTGGGATGCGGAGCACATTTGTTATTTAACTCCGGGCGGACGCAAAACCATTCCAATAGCATAAAAATGTATGGAGCGTAGTGGAAAATCCAAGTTTTGTACTTCACCCTCTCAGCGTACCAGAATTATCGTCCCAGCGACCCTCGGAGTCCCTTCGCGTCGGACTTAGCGTCTACAATCAATCCTAGCTTTGCCAATAGGCCGGACTCGTCGAAACTAGATAACTCCGCCATCACATATCAATCCAAGTAAGCTCCGGATTTAAAGTATAAAATTCACCAAGCGTCTGTAGGCACGAGACTATTGTTCGGGTTCAGTGGAACTCCCCACCCGGGTTACTGGCGAACTTCGGAGATAAATACTCCGGAGAATCGCTATACTGTTTGTTTCAGGCCTCAAGATTTTGTTTGTTTTAGGTTTTCCTACGGGCTACCCTACGGCGTCTAACTTCTCCCCCTCCCTTCGAACTTAAATATTACCCTTCAATCGCCTTAGACCGCCTACACCCATACCACTGGGTGTTTTAGGTTTTATTTCTTTTTGGTCTTTGGTGTTGTCGTGTGTTAGTGCCTATCATCGTATAAATATTGTACCCTCCACCAGACCTGCGGGACCCGAGACCCGTTGGAACAGTTTCATGGTAGCTCTCGGTTCGAGGGATTTCAAACCCGAGCCTGCACCCGAGCACCCCACGGGCCCAATACCGCGGTGGTACTTGCCACCCGCGCCCATCCTTAACGCCAAAATCTATTTCGTCCCGGGTTCATTCAGTTTGGGGCCTTTCTGTGACTTTAGTATCTCAAAATGTTTGTATAATATAGCTATATCATACTGTCAAACAGATAATACATGGGATGTGTTGAAATAATCCTAGCAAATGGAAGATGAGTGCGTTGCCCCAAGCGTCGGTTGCCCAAAGGGGCAATTGCATACAGTAGATCGAGTAGATACAACAAATATATAAGATTTTCTTATCATCTTATCAGTCAGGCCTGCCCGTGGCAGTCCCCCTGACCACATGCAACACAGCGCGAGCTCGCAAACTCGAACCCAAAAGCCGAAATCCAACAGGATGAGTAGAACTTGCACTGGAACAAGATTTGCAGTGTGTAAAGGACTCGGGCAGCTTCCGGGGTCCCAGCTACGATGATATGCACTGACACACAACAATCACCAAGGACCAAAAGGAATAAACCTAAACCCCGTGATATGGGTGAAGGCAGTCCGAGACAACTGAAGGGTATTTAATAGTTCGAGGCGGAAAGGAGGAGTAAGACGCCGTAGGGTAGTCCGTAGGAAGACCTAGAAAAATAAAACAAAAAACCTTGACGCCTGAAACAAACACTAGTGGACGCTCCGGAGTATTTATCTCCGGAAAGTCGCAAACAAAGTCGCAAACCACGGAACCGAGTGTAGGTTCGGGCCCACGGGAGTAGAAAACGCTAAAGGGGACTTGTTTAATTTTTATTTCGCTATGTGAGACTCACCGGAGCTAATTAAATCGATGGCGGAGATAATTTACTCGACGAGTCAGGCCTATTGGCAAAGCTAAGATCGGTTATAATTCGCTAAGTTCGACGCTTTCGAACTTCGAGGGTCGCTGAGATCGTAACGCTAATTCTCTGAGATGGTGAAGTCGAAACTTGTTTTTCTGTATGCTACTTTGTACAATTTATACTACAGGAATGGCTTTGCGACCGTTCGGAGATAAATAACAAATAAACG